AGGGAGGGGCTAATAATCGGCTCAGTCATTTTTAATGATCGTTGAAAGCCCAGATCGTAATCGTGATTAAAATTCGATTAATTGAGCAGCCCTAGTGTGACGGACCACTTGCCGTAATTGATTTAACCATGAATTCTGCTCTCTACCTCAAAATCCTGAAGGAGAATGGTGGCCATTTGTCTGTGCCCTAAAGCACAAGCACCCTTGGGCTATGCAGCAGTACAATGATCCAAAATACGACAAGAAGTCCACCTCTGAATGGCTCAACAAAAAGCAAAATAAAGGTTTTGGAGTTGTCTAAAGAAAATTTAGAATTAAATCAGATTGATATGGCTGTGCATAACCTTCACATTCAAGAACTCTCCAACGTCACTGAATTAAAGAAGAGTGGGCCAAAATTCCTCCATTGTACTATGAATGCCTCATTGCCACCAATATCAAACACTTGATCGCAGTCCTTGCTGCAAAGATTCAGACAACTGGTTATTAGGTTGGTAATAATTACTTTTTCACACAGGGTCAGGTAGGTTTGGAGAACCTTTTTCAAGTAATAGTAATAATAAATAAAATGAAAAGTAAGAAAATACATGTACTGTATTTACACAAGTTACTTTTATCAAATACAAAATGCTCTTTGTTGATCTGAAACATACAAGTGTGACAAAATAAACTAAAGACTAAGAAATCGCCTTTTGATTGCACTGTATCTTCTCTCCTTTTTGCCAGTCGGCTGTTCATTCAAAAGTATTTTTGAAAGAGTGTGTGAATATGAAATGTGGTGTTTCGGTGTACATAGAGTACTCTGACGTTTTCCAAACTATGACCTGGGTTTCTCTGCTAATTCAGTTAATCTTGTCCACATTTAACTGTGTTGGCTCAATCTAAATGCTCATGTAGCTGAATTCTCAGCGAAGCTCTTCATTAACCTGCATTCACGATGACACTAATTAGAAAGAATTAGCAACTGAAGTGAATATTCAGTGCCATTTCTTCCAGTTTATACATCAGGACAAGCAAGGCAAGCACTGCCTGCCCAGTGAAATCTAAAAATAGGTATCGATTAAACTGTACTGCTCCACAAATGATCTCATGTTGCTTCTTTGAACTCATCCTGTAGTTTACTGCCATCTGGTGGTCACAGTTGGCTAGCTGAACAAAGAGTCACCAGAATCTAATTTCTATTATTTTCATGGTGACGTGAGTGGGGCCAGTTTTCCAGCCACCTGCTGGCCTGTTCGTGCCAGTGGCTGTTTTCACCAAGCCCAGTTATGAGTTCACCTGGGAACTAGAAACACTAAATTAATTATGCTTTTTTCTTGTCGTCTGGTTTACTAGCTTATTATTTTGCAGATTTAGATGATGAAGATTGTAAATAATAAACCTTTATATTAATATTTAAAAATATAAAAGGTAAAACCTTTTTTTTGGACCCATAAGCAAACATGGGAGCAGTAAAACGTTTTCCACCACTGCTCTGGGGAAAGGGTACGTTGGGCACTGGAAGTAATAATATATTACACGTCCAGCCAGGAAGGACTGCAGAAAGCTAAAAATACCCACACAGAGTGCAGCATGAATAAAAGAATAAAAACAGCTGAACACAGGTGTATTAGAATTAACTGGTATTTATATGACACTTTTCTCTTCTTACAACTGATCAGCTGTTTCTGTAACGCAGTGTAATTAATATATATTTATACTGATTTCTTTACTTTTTTCATTTCATTTTTTTGCTCATTGACTATAAAGAATTATGTAGAAGTTAAGCTTCTTCTACATAATACATAGTCACTGCAACACTCTATGGTGATTATGTGAAAATGCAGAAACTACCAGAAGCTAAAACTCTTCAAACCACCTTCAGTACAAACAAATTCCTGACCTTGCACCTCTCTACATCTGGCTTCAAGTACAGTGTGCAATGAAATCAATAAAAGACTAGAAGTGTGCAGCAGGCTTCACGAGTATAGCAGATTAATAGAAAGCCAAAGGAACATTTTATTATATAATTATATGATTAAGTATTGATATGTAAAGCCACCCGTTCATTAATTCCATCCATCCTTCCACGATTTGACTGACTATAATGGCATAATATTCACCTAAAATTAAAGTTAATCTTTTTGTTATTTAAATTGGTTTTAGCAATACGTGAACAACCATTGTGTGATAGACAGTCGTTTCTTTTCAACAGGCAGGAGAAGAACCAGAAGGAGATTAAACTTCACAGAGACAGAGAGTAAGAGTAGAGTAAATGACAGGCAAGAGAAACATGGGAGAAAGGAGAAAACACACTCTGACCGATGTGTGAAAACCAGATTATCATGGGAACCGGGCTTAACGTAAGATAAGTCATTCTGAAAAGGACAGAAAATATAAAGGTCAAAACAGATTATGAGCGTTTCTGACAGGAGCAAACTAAGAAAAAAACTAAGGAGCTAAAAATGGCTTCTTAGAAGAAGAAGAGAGTTGTATTTTGCAGTGACTAAGAAAAATCTCTTCATGAAAATTATATTGTCTTTGTATGTAAATATATTTTTAAAAAATGTAAAAAAAGAGGACCAGAAAGAGTAAGATGAGCTCAGAGGGGTCTCACAGGAAACAGGTATGTCTTCAATCTCTCACTAATCTCTGGCTAAAAGTAGAGATTCAACATATCTACTGATACCCCTCTACCCCCACAGATGACATCTTAAAGAAAATGCCCTACATGGTTGAGACAGCTTTAGCTTTTTCTTAGGAAGAATCCTAACCTTCACCTAAGACTGCATGCTGAAAATTCTCCTTCTAAAGGTTGAGAAGGAAATCCAGTGAGCTGTACTGACCGCCTGTTTCGTTTTGGAAATGTCCTCCATCTGAACATGTAGGTCTTCAATCTCCACCTCCATGGACTTTTTAGCTTTAACTGCAGCTGCACAGGTGAACTCCGACTCCTCTAACTGAAACACACAGACATTGAGGAAAAGAATGAGCTCAGGACGACTTCACAGTTAGTATCCCAGTAGATATATTTCAGTTTTTTAATGGATTCTGGTCCCAGTCAAGAATCAGGTGGCTGGGCTTTATTTGGAAAATCTTCTGCTTTGGATCAGAGGTTTTCAGACGGTTCAGTCCCGTAAGAAGGCACAGGGGAGTTGAAGTGAGGCCACAGACATTAATGCTTTGAGTCATAACTCAATCACATCAGGGGGTGTTTTACAGCTTAAAGCCTGAAAAATTGTCACAAAAAATAATCCAAGATTATGCTAATTACCATAACAGGAGCATAAAATGTGTTAACATGTAAATGTGCTGGTGTCAGTATTTGACTTCTTTCATTCTTTGGTGTTTTTCTATCTCCTTAGATTAGGGGTCTTTCCATTTTCCCACAAGCCACAGATGATAGCATGTTTCTGAAACTGCTGCTGTCAGTAATTTATGAAGTTGTGGCTGTACCTGATTCTTGAGTTGGGCGATCTCCCTCTTGCTGGGTGCGTTATTCTTTATGTGGTCCAACATGATCTGGGCATCTGCTAGCAAAGCCTTGGTTCTCTTCAAGTCCTTCCTCAAGCGCTTTTCAACCTCTATGTCACCACCTCTCACCTGGGAACCAAGATGACCAAAGTGTGACTCAACTGACTGAGTGGGACAAGTTATGGTAGTTATAGTAGTTATAGTAATACACAGTGTGTTTTATCATTAAAGGAAGAATCCTTAGATTATCTAGCATACATAAAACTGAAATTTCTGAATTGATAAATTAAATTTGGCTACAGTGAAACACTACATACGAAGAAAGTAACAATTTTAACTACTAGATAAACTTTAGTAGTTTCTTACTTACTAAAGACAATATTCTTTGCATTACAAATGTTTTAAGTATGTTTGAATAAACAAATGAATTATTACCTTAGCATACATTTGCAAAAATGTCTAAAAAGTGTAGTCTAAAAGAATATCATGAAACGAAATGAGTGATGCTTACATCCCTTGATAACACAGCTCATTTTAAACATAAACACCTCACACAACTTGTTAAGTTTAATTTATTTGCCCATACTCATATAAAATTGGATCTGCAATCAGATATGTAAATTTTCTTCTGCTAAGTCCACAAGGCCAAATTTTGCTAAAAGCTCAGGTCATGTCAGATATTTGCTTACAGTTTTATTTCTTTTGTTTACAGATGCTGCTCCGGTTGCATTGCACTGTGTTCATTGTATTTACCTGGTCCTGTACAGACAGAAAGTTCGACTCCAGCTCTCTCTTCTCTTTCAGCACCTTCTGCTTCTCATCATACTCCTCTTCAAGCTGGACTTCCATTTGTTTTAGCTACACAAACAGACACACACACAGTCGTAATGCAACTGTTCAAGAACCTTTTACACAGTCACCATATTAACATATTATTTTCACATGCCATGTCAATAAAAGCTGGTTTGGCTCAATTTGTTCACTTAGAAAGAGAGGTCACTGCAAATCAATACAAAGTGAAACTGGGATCATAATGCCCTGTCATTGAACAGTTTGAGTATGCCAACAGTGGGAATCGTGTGCTATGGCCTTCAGCTATTAGACTGCCAACTGAACATTTATTGAAGAATTGTGGACAAGATTGACGGCGCTCTCCACCACCATCACTGAAACGACAAATGAGGGAATTACTTTTGGGAAAACGGTGCCTCATTAGGCCCGCAGAGACCCATGAGATGCAGATGTTACATGTTCTTGTGACATGTAACATGTAATAGCCCAACACTGTATGAACACCTTTTTCCCCCATTGTCACCCATGTGTACATGGAAATGTGTCATATGCCAAAACATCCTTGGACAAGATACAACAGCATTTAGCTGCACGTTGGTTATATGAATGAGTGCGAATGGGTGACTGAGGCAGGTACTAGCACCAGTCCATTTAACATCTTGTGTCATTTAATTCATCTTGGTAGTTTCTGGATTCTTGGTGAGTTAAGTTTATAATCTCAAAAAAGAAAGGACTTTTTTTCTCAAACCTTTCAGAGTATTTCAAGAAGTGAAGGCTATTAGTAAGGGTTTGATTAATTACACATTGATCCTACCCTGTGAGTCAAGTCAAATCCACCATTTTTAATTCTATTGCACATTTAAAAACAATAGCTGTTCTCTGAAGTGCTGTGCACCTAAAAGAAATATGCACACAAAGTCAAGCATCAAGGAAAAACATTTAAAACAGGGCACATGTTAGTTCAACGGTTTTCTGTGGTGTCTAGAAACCTCCCATAAACAACACTGAATTGATAGCAGCTTGATTGGATTTTGTCATATTGTTGTCATCATTTCATTTATCCTTTGCTGTGCATGCCCTTACAGCTAATTTCTCCATCAGTGTCTCTGGATCTAGTCTCTAGCTGTGCCCAAAACCACAAATTTGAATCCTGCTTCTCCTAAACACTTGCTGACAAGTGTTACACAATGTGAAAAAGCACTTTCTCACCTTTTTGCTACATGACTGCCTGATCTCCTCCACTTCCTCATCTTTGCTCTCAATCTCCTTGGAATGGGTTTGACGCAAGCGCTCCATCTCCATCTCAAGACGTAGCTTACCCTGAAAGAAACACAGACCAGATGCTCTGGACTCACTGTGGCTTAAAGAAGCATAATGTTAATGTTCCGTCTTTGCCTTGATGGAGGTATGTGTCCAATGCCATTCATATTTCACAAAATATACTAGCAATATACTAGCATGACTTTCAGAAGGAGTTGAATGTGTACAAAAACAAGAATCATTACATTTTGGTGCAGATTTTGAAAACTTTCTTTAAAGTTGCAGGATACTGCACTTGGATGTGGATGCACACTTAATGTCCTTTTTGTTCCAAACTGTCATCTTTGTAATCTAAAAAGCATGACTACCATCCTTAATACTAGTCTAAAAACAGCCTTAAAATATCATCCAGTTAAGGAAATCCCAAAAAGCTGGTCCTGTTCATCTGGACGTAGTGTTTTCAGTGGGAGAAACGTTTCGTCACAAATGACATCACTTGGATGACTTCATGATCCGAGAAAGTGAATTGGTCACTTGAATGAGTGATGAAACGTTTCTCCCACTGAAGACGCTACGTCCAGATGAACAGGACCAGCTTTTTGGGAATATAAATAAAAAAAATTTACTAAGCAAAAATACAGCTTTAATTGGAGTTTTTTTAGTTTTTTCCTTTTTCGTGTGTACCTGCTCCAACATCTGGATGGTACCAGCCTGCTCATCAAGCTCTTCTTCTTGGTCTTTCACCTTTGCCTCTAGATCACGAAGCTGCTTCTTCACCTGCATAGAAAAAAAATGATGTTCCAAAATGAATACCTGATATTCAATTAATAAATGAATGCACCATCATATATCTATTTTAGTTGAACAGACAAAGAACACTTTTGATTTTTTTGTGGGCGTGGACTGGCACAAACAGATGGAGTGGATGGTTTGACTAACTAAAAAAGGAATAGGACAGACCTTGGCCAGTGATGCCTCATCCTTTGATTCTTGGGAGTTGAGATCCTGCAGCTCGGCCTCCAGCTGCTCCAGCTTCAGGTTGACTGCACAAGCTTCCAGGTCTTTGTCCTGCAGGACAGGTGATTAGAGTCAGAACACAGAAAAGGGAACTGCCACATGTGCACGATGGGGAAAAGTTGAGATACTCTGCTCTACACATAGCCACAAAGTGGAAACACAAAAGGGAAGTTACAATTACAAGTTAAAATGACAAGCTTGTTCTCTGTAACAAGCACAGTATGAAGCTGGAGGTCTTTACAATATATTACAACTGCAATCAAGAGCTACAAGTTTCCGTGGATAAAAATTGTAGACTTGGCATGAGTTAGACACGCAATTAGAATAAAAATGTACAGTCTTGTATGAGGGGCCGTGCAAAATTCATACTTTCACTCTCACATAGTTTTATTTAAATTTTTATATTTAGATATTTTTATTCTCATGTTTACACATATTTAACACACACATTACAATATTGTGTTCTCTTATACATGTATTTTAATGTACATATTCACAAATTTTCACTCTAACATACATGCATTTTCATTTATGCATTCCTACATTTTGCTCTCATTTACATGCATTCAATTTGGATTTAATCTCCCAAATAATATATATATGTAAGAAGAGAATGCTTACATGTCTGAAGAAAATATATGTATGCAAGAGAATAATGTATGTGAATGAAAGAGTGTAGTGGAAACGGAAGGCTGGGTGTCTGTACCGCTGTGATTGGCTGAGAAGCACGCGCGGGTCACTTTCAAGTGTCTGACAGCATGGAGGGGGGAGAAGAAACTCGAGTTCTTCAGCGAGCTGTCTATGGCGTTATTTTTGTGCCACTATTCTGAGCGCAAGTAAAAAAAAGTTTGCAGGTGCAAGTGTTGCATTTTGAGGAGAAATTTATTTTGAGCGAAGAGAAGAGAGCAATGTGTTGCTCGTGCTTAACGCGATTCGTCCCATACTTCAGCTAGAATGAAAAAAAGACAAAGCTGGAGTTATTCTGTCTTTACGTTGCACAGCTGTCTCTTCTCCCCTCAATCTCTCTCCCTCCCTCTCCTGTTGCTACTTCAATCTCTCTTGTTTGTTTATCGCCCACTTTGCGCCAGAAACAGGAAACCAGCGGATGTTGCGCTAAACAACAACAACAGCAGCACGTTCAAGCTTGATCAGCTGAAAATGCAACACTTGCACCTGCAAACTTTTTTTACTTGCGCTCAGAATAGTGGCACAAAAATAACGCCATAGACAGCTCGCTGAAGAACTCGAGTTTCTTCTCCCCCCTCCATGCTGTCAGACACTTGAAAGTGACCCGCGCGTGCTTCTCAGCCAATCACAGCGGTACAGACACCCAGCCTTCCGTTTCCACTACACTCTTTCATTCACATACATTATTCTCTTCATACATATATTTTCTTCAGACATGTAAGCATTCTCTTCTTACATATATATATTATTTGTGAGATTAAATCCAAATTGAATGCATGTAAATGAGAGCAAAATGTAGGAATGCATAAATGAAAATGCATGTATGTTAGAGTGAAAATTTGTGAATATGTACATTAAAATACATGTATAAGAGAACACAATATTGTAATGTGTGTGTTAAATATGTGTAAACATGAGAATAAAAATATCTAAATATAAAAATTAAAATAAAACTATGTGAGAGTGAAAGAATGAATTTTGCACGGCCCCTCATAATCTTGGATCATATTGTGCTGCCATCCTGGTAACTACAAAGGAGGCCCAAACAACAATTTCTTCTTGCAGCTTTAAACTTAAACTCACAATGATCACACATGCTCATCTAAACATACTGATTGTCTTTACTGCTCAAAGACAATAAGTGACCGAGTAAATACAAAATCTAAATATGAGTAGGATGCTGAAAACTTTAAAATGCTGGGGTATCTGACACTAAATAATTCACAAATAACGCACCAAGTCCCAAGAAAAGAAAAACCCCTTCACTAAAGCAACGTGCCACAGTGTAGCCCACAGAGACACAGACCTCCAGCTGCTGCCGGAGGCCGAAGACCTCTCCGGTCAGCACGTCTTTCTCTCGAGCCAGTTTCTCCCTCAGGCTTCTCTCCCTCTGCACCTCATCCTGGGCTGCACTCAGCTCACTGTCAAACCTTTCAAAAATACACACACACATAAAACACTGTAATTTATTTACAATTACTGTTGTTATTACACCACTACTATAGGGCCTTCCAGGAACCAGGCAGAGGTAGGTAAAGTAATAGAACTGTGTGATGACATGACAGGTAAAACTTGACTGCGTGTGTTTGTGTACTGACTTCCTCTGCTTCTTCTCCAAATCATGGTTGCGACTCTGCTGACCCTCCAGGTGAAGTTTAGTGTCCTGCAGCTCAGCTGTCAGCCGCTGGGCTTTCTTCTTCAGCTGCTGGATATTTCGCTGAGACTCCTCATAATCAGCCTCCAGGTCACTGATCTGCACAAAAAGTATCCTCAATATGTTAAGAAGCCTGTTTGATGAATGCATAAAAAATACAGTCAAGCAGTACGCAAGCAATTTATTGTTTTTAAAACAGCTTATTAAGACCATTGTAGCTTAAAAACCACGTGGGGAATGAGATTAGTTTTCAAATTAAAAGAAGAAAACTGGATTTATTCCAATGTGCTTTCAGTTATATAGTCATAAATGTGCTTGCTTTGAGTGCAAGTGTTTGTTTTGCTTAAGGATACTATTACCACTTGCTGAGCACTCTTACTGCAATAGATGCTCAAATCAAATTATAATTTCTAATCAGATAAGTGAGGATGTCACTTGTGATTTAACCCAGATTCACCTTATCATCAAAGTCTCAGAAGAGACAACAGTTAAGGCCATTTAGCAAAGTGTGAACAAAGCAAATCATCTTTCTTGCTGTCAATTCCTTAAAGTGGTCACAGTTTGCATTGATGACAGCTATGCACACGTCTGGTAAGAACTTAAACAGCTTCATGACGTCATCACCTGAAATAATTAATTCCCTTCTTAATGTGTTTAAAACTAACCAGCTATGTTGTTATACCTTCGTTATCTGGGAGCCATGAAAGTATGTGTTGCATGTTTTGGTATGACACATTATATTGTCAGAATATATGTATACTGAATAACAGTTTTTGTAATAAAAGAAGGAAATCAGAGTCATATAATTAAGATAAAGCCCAAGATTTTACTGTAAAGAAAAACTTGAATTCTGTTCATAAATATGTATCAGTGTCCACTCACCCTCCTCTCCAGCTGCCGCTTGTTCTGCTGCTCCACCTCCAGTTTGTCATCAAGCTCCTGCTGCAGTCTCTTCTTGGTGAACTCGATCTCCCTGATTGCTCGCTCATACTTCAGCTTCCACTCTCCTCCTGTGATATTTCGTACTTTTATTGTCTACATCATGTGCTCTGTCACTTGTGCTACCCCATGTACTCAATACCACACATGTATTTACTGTATCCAGCCATAAAAGACATTCTGAAAGGCTGAGAATAAAAACATTTAGATGCTACGAACTAAAGTCAACCTTGCTTAGTCCAAGGCAAAACATCTCCAAGGATATCTTAAAGCGATTCATACATCTATTGTAAAGCTTAATTGAAATGCAGATTTCATTTTCCAACAGGACTTAGCAAATGCCCACAGTGACAGTGTTATTACTGTGCTTGAATGACCAGCTAAGTTACCTGACTAAACCCTACAGAGCGTCTTCAGGGAATTGTCGAGTGTCCATTAATTCAACATTCTCTTATTTTACCAACAAACCTCAATACTCTGAACTGCACTTTAGTAAGACCTATACAATTGTCAGTTATAGCCACGAGGAGCAACCTACAGGTACTGAATGTACTTCAGTCCTGCATAAATACCCCTCCATGAGTGTGGTGCTACATCATTTTTGCTTTACTGTAGTACAAAAGTGAAAAGCTGTTGCAAGCTGGAGACACTGAGGAATCAATTCTTCTTTCACAAAGTCTGCAGGCCAAACAAAGACGGCTGGCAGCAGGCCTGCAGGGCGTCATGAACTGAGTCCTTGCTTCCTTTCTTGCATTGAACCAATCCATCTCTAATGTACTTCTTCACGTTGGATTTTTCTTGGCTTTTGTCAAAGCATCGATTGGACATTACCCCTGCGGTTCCTGCACCCCCACTAAAGAACACACACTGGGTTTTTCTAACAGTCTGGAATAACTGGTACTGTAACAGCTGTGCAGGGCTATGTGAAGTAGAGTCCATTTAGGGAACAGAAAACATAACACAAACCACAAGAATGATTTGATGATGTGAGCTTGTGCAGAGATTGTCAAGTGTTAATTTCGTTTTAGGTATTTAGAAAGCCTCAAGTGAAAGATAGAATTGCTGAAAGAGAAACTGTAGCAACCACTAACGTTCCTTGTTGTTTTTCCCCCCTTTGTTACATTACATACACGATATAATGATGCTGCAGGAGTACACCCTCATAGACCTTAAAATAGTTACAAAAACAACTGTATAGGTTTACTAGAATGTAGCTCTAGTATTGAGGGGGCTCGACCAATAAAAATGAGAGGAAGTGAATTATTGCATGCAATTATAAATCTATGGAAGTACAAACAGGATTGGGAAATGTGTAGAGTTATGAATAAGTTATACTCATTTGATTTAGTGACAAGAAGCTTGACACCCAGGAGTGATCAGTATCACTATGTCCTGATTGGTCAGTACTGTTGTGCTTGGGAGGTCGTGTCTAACCTGTCTCATCATCATCCACCTCTCCACTGAGTTCGGAAGCACGGATGAGTCGAGCCTCCATCACCTCCATCTCCATAGACTCCATCTCTTTCTTCGTGCTGTCAAATTTGGCCTGGTGGATTAGGGATAACAAGCAGCTTCTATAACAATGGCAACAAAACTCTACGAAGATTAATCAAGAATGTGGTTTTGAAAAGGTCCATTACAGTGTAAAGACTTGAGTAGCATTTTTAACTGTGTGTAAAAGCTCATGGGTCAGGTGAAGGGTCCCCTTAACATAATTTTGCTCACAGCTCAGAGGTCAGAACTGGGTCTGGGTGAAATATATCACTTAGTGAAATGAACAGTGCTTGGACTTTGGCTACATTAAAATATAACACATGTTCTTATTTATTTTCTTCGTTGTGCTTCTCCCTTTAGGTATCATCTACTTCAATTTCATTCTATCATCTTCTTTTACATCAATCGTCTGCACATCCTTGAGTCTTCTCTGTGATCATCGTCTCTTCCTCCTGTTGGTAGTTCAACATCCTTTGTCCAGCATATCCACCATCCCTGACTAATCTAAGTTAGCCTTACCTTCCTCGCTCTTTCTCTCCTACTGCTTATACCCAAACTGATTTCAACATTCTATCTCTGTCTGTTGGTCATTGACAAAGGAGCATTACCAAAGCCCCTTTGAGTCAAACAAATTCTGCAGGGCCTGCCACACACAGCAAAGTTTTTAGTTGTGTAACTATTTAAAGTTGAAAGTCTTATTTTCTTAAAACTGGGTAGTTTGTTTCTTATTTGATGATCATTTCAGGTATCTAGACTCTTTTACTGAATAAACTGAACCAATTCAGCAGTAAATGTCATGACTGTTTAACATTACTACTCATGTGCAAAAATGACGCTGGTGTTCTTTCGTCATCTGATTTATTATTGCAAAAATGGCAGTCTTGAAATACAAATAACAGTCAAAAATACTGCTACCACAACATTCAGTATATGTTGCATGCATAAGCAAAAATGTCCAATTTCATTACACGGTCAAAGCAACAGTACGAGAATAATGGGACAGACACCCTGAGCCAGGGTGTCCTGCACACACAGCAACGTGGAATTACAATTTTGTTACCTGGCTCAAGGGGCCCACGCTGCAAACCACAAACTGCAGGTAAGCAGTGCAATTTCAGGAGTGTTCCTCTCCTGAATATGAAGTGCATTCACAAGCCCAAATATCAAGTTTTCTGAGCTGGATGAATAATACGCTCACCTCAAAGTAGAAGTCAAAATGAGGTAGCCCGGAAATACAGCATTATAGTAGCTGGTGACAAGACTTTTCTCCAGTGTACATGCATGTGTGTATGTTTCCATCTTTACCTGCAGGTCCTTCATGTCCTTCTCCAGACGCAGTCTCTCAGAAGTTTCTGTCTCCAGCAACTGGGAGGCAGATTCCCCAGTGTTGCGCTCATCAGCCAGCTCTGCTGACAGCTCTGTGATCTGAAATGTGAATATTGACAAATCTTGTATTAATGTATAGCTTGGAAGAACTCTCAAAAATTGTGAGATTTTATTTTAGGGTCAGTTCGTGATTGTAAAATTTGTTGTTAGGAGCTAATAGACAGGGTATCATCTGGGACCCGATAAGTAAAACATGAGAACTAATTAACTAATGCTAACTAAGCCTTGCTAAAGAAAGAATTTATATTTCAGTTGTCATTTGTCTTTATGTCATAGCAGGATGATATAAGAACAACAAGGCCAAATGTTAAGAATTTCAGAGGGACAAAGGAAGAACCATGCCGAACAGCTCAAATGTTTGGGTCACTTAAAAATGTGATTGTTTCTCAAGAAAAAGACTTCACTGTTTTCACTGAGCAGAAATGGATCATAACCCTGTTAAAACACAGTTAACAATTGTCATCATCGCTCCTCATGAATCATTGAAATGATATTCAGTAGTTAAATCTATATCTCTGCAGGGATGCAGATGACCAATGTTAGCAAACATCACTCCAGATTAGCTGTCTGCTGACACTTGAGAAATATGCTAACAATTTTCATCCATCCATCTTCATCCGCTTTGTCCG